AGAAGGATAGAGAGAGAGAGAGAGAGAGAGAGAGATTGATAGAGAGAGAGGGAGAGTGATGGATACAGAGAGAGAGAGATGGATAGAGAGAGAAAGAGGGATAGAGATGGCGAGAGAGAGAAATGGATGAGGGAGAGAGAGATGGATAGATAGAGAGAGAGAGGAGGGAGGGAGGGGGAGAGAGAGAGATGGATAGAGAAAGAGATGGATAGAGAGAGAGATGGATAGAGAGAGAGAGATAGGAGGGAGGGAGGGGGAGAGAGAGAGATGGATAGAGAAAGAGATGGATAGAGAGAGAGATGGATAGAGAGAGAGAGATAGGAGGGAGGGAGAAAGGGAGAAAGGGAGAGAGAGAGAGAGAGAGATGGATAGAGAGAGAGAGATAGGAGGGAGGGAGGGGGAGAGAGAGAGATGGATAGAGAAAGAGATGGATAGAGAGAGAGATGGATAGAGAGAGAGAGATAGGAGGGAGGGATAGAGAGAGAGAGAGAGAGAGAGAGAGAGAGAGAGAGAGAGAGAGAGAGAGAAATAGATAGATAGAGAGAGAGAGAGATGGATAGGAGGGAGGGAGAGAGAGAGATATGGAGAGAGAGAGAGAAAGAGAGAGAGAGAGAGAGAGAGAGGGATAGAGAGAGAAAGAGGGATAGAGATGGCGAGAGAGAGAAATGGATGAGGGAGAGAGAGATGGATAGATAGAGAGAGAGAGAGAGAGATTGATAGAGATGGATAGAGAGAGAGAGAGAAGGAGAGAGATGAATAGAGAGAGAGAGAGAGAGATCACATTTATCTGTAGAGTATTATAGACGGTTCACACTCTGGAGGTCGGTGCCGGGAAATGGGACAGTTCTGATATCTCCTCATCATGTGCCGGTATTGGGTAACTTGTTCTAGACTTTATAGAGATGAACTTCAATCTCCATTTCTACAGAATATTAGTGTAATGTGACAGCCGCAGCTCTGATGGTGTGAAGATGATGTCTGGCAGGATAATTATAGATCTTCATTTCATATCATTTCACCAGAACACCAACTACAAAGATATGAGGTGATGACCGAGAGACACAGGATGTCCCGCCCACCTTCACCGACATCCAACCAGAGCCACCAACAAGGACATCGCACAGGAGAATGGAGGACTCTGCTCCTTCCTCTAACTCTCCTCTTATGATATACTCTGCACTGTACACAAATCTCCCTGATGTCATATACATCGATCAGCCAGAACATTCTGACCACCCGCCTAATATTGAGGAGGTCCCCTTGTCCTGACCCGTCCACAGCACACCTCTGAAGGTGTGCTGTGGTATCTGGCACCAAGCCGTCAGTATCAGATCCTATAAGTCCTGTAAGATGGGAGGTGATCGGCCTCCATGGATCGGACTTGTTCTTCCAGCACATCCCACAGATGATCGATTGGATTGAGATCTGGAGAATTTGGACACCAAATCATCACCTCAGACTCGTTGTTGGGTTCCTCAAATCATTCTTCAACCATATTTGCAGTGTGGCCGGGCTCGTTATCCTGGTGAGAGAGGCCACTGCCATCAGGGAATATGGTTTCCATGAAGGGGTGTACTGGGTCAGTAACAATGTTTAGGTCGGTGGTACGTGTCAGAGTGACCTCCACATGAATGGCCGGACCCGAGGTGTCCCAGCAGCTCCATACACAACAACCTGCGATGCTCTGTGTGTTCAGACATCTTTCTATCAGAACCATGAGCCTTCCCTTCCCACGTTTATCAATGAGCCTTCCCTTCCCGCGTCCCCACATCCATCAATGAGCCTTCCCTCCCCGCGTCCATCAATGTGCCTTCCCTTCCCGCGTCCCCACATCCATCAATGAGCCTTCCCTCCCCACATCCATCAATGAGCCTTCCCTCCCCACATCCATCAATGAGCCTTCCCTCCCCACATCCATCAATGAGCCTTCCCTTCCCGCGTCCATCAATGAGCCTTCCCTTCCCGCGTCCATCAATGAGCCTTCCCTTCCCGCGTCCATCAATGAGCCTTCCCTCCCCGCGTCCATCAATGAGCCTTCCCTCCCCACATCCATCAATGAGCCTTCCCTCCCCGCGTCCATCAATGAGCCTTCCCTTCCCGCGTCCATCAATGAGCCTTCCCTCCCCATATCCATCAATGAGCCTTCCCTCCCCGCGTCCATCAATGAGCCTTCCCTCCCCGCGTCCATCAATGTGCCTTCCCTTCCCGCGTCCATCAATGAGCCTTCCCTCCCCATATCCATCAATGAGCCTTCCCTCCCCGCGTCCATCAATGAGCCTTCCCTCCCCGCGTCCATCAATGAGCCTTCCCTTCCCGCGTCCACACATCCATCAATGAGCCTTCCCTCCCCGCGTCCATCAATGTGCCTTCCCTTCCCGCGTCCCCACATCCATCAATGAGCCTTCCCTCCCCACATCCATCAATGAGCCTTCCCTCCCCACATCCATCAATGTGCCTTCCCTTCCCGCGTCCATCAATGAGCCTTCCCTTCCCGCCTCCATCAATGAGCCTTCCCTTCCCGCCTCCATCAATGAGCTTTCCCTCCCCCCGTCCATCAATGAGCCTTCACTCCCCCCGTCCATCAATGAGCCTTCCCTCCCCATATCCATCAATGAGCCTTCCCTCCCCGCGTCCACCCATGAGCCTTGGCCACCCATAACCCTATTGCCAGTTCACCGGTCTTCCTTCCTTGGACCACTTTTGGTTGGTCCTGACCACTGCAGAGCGGGACATCTTGCGGGGAAGGTATGAAGGATTTGGACTACCACAAGGCAGAGTTTACATCCTCTTTAATGAGACAGACATCTAATCCCCCCTCCTCCAGGCCCCCCGAGAGCCATAAAAGGACACCAAGACCGCGTTGCGCAATCATCCGACGTTCCAGACTCCGGGGCAATGAAAAGCTCCTCTGCACAATGATTTGGAGACGTGTTCCCTGCCGTCGCCGTTTCTCGGCGGAGCTTGGAGAAGAGCGGGAGATAAAACAGTCTGAATGCTGTGAAAGCCCCGATGAAGCGGGTGGGGGAGGGGGTGAGCGCGGCGTGCAGGAGAGACCTATTCAGAACGCCGAGGCCTTTTCTCTGCAGACTTCTCCTCATCCTCGCCGTCAACGCTCGCCGGCTGCTAAAGTGCTCGCACAGTGGAAAACCTTTGTCGTCGCCGTTTCCCAGGGAGACCCCTCCCTCCCGTCTCCCCTCCTCAGTGCCATCTTGAAGGAACAATAAGCCGCCTACTCGAGTTTACCGCGGCGAGGGGAAAAAAAAGCCGTAATTGTTTTCTCGGCGCCGTTCTTTTCCTGGCAACTTAAAGCTCAACTCCGGGATCATCTCTCCTCCGCCATACCTCCGAACTGAAATCTTCCCCCCGTGTGCAGATCATATCAGCCCCCTGCTGCCCCCTCTCACCTTGTGATTGGATACAAAGCTACAGTGTACAGACTGATCAGTGGGGGAGGGGAGACAGAGGAAATGCTTCCTCCTGCCTGCAGCAGACTGATCACTGGGGGAGGGGAGACTGAGGAAATGCTTCCTCCTGCCTGCAGCAGACTGATCACTGGGGGAGGGGAGACTGAGGTAATGCTTCCTCCTGCCTGCAGCAGACTGATGACATCATCTCAGCCTAGGCCAAGTCACTGACTGGAGCTCCAGGACAACTTTTTAATGCTGGGTATACATTGTATACACTGTGACACTTTCTTGCAGAGTTGTGGGTGACTGACGGGGTCACTTTGTGGCGCCCCAATGATACTTACTCAGTCCGATCTTGGCCAAGTGCATTCGGTTGACCCAGGAGATCTTACTCAGAGGACTCGGCGTCAGGAAAAGGACCATAAAGCTCATCGGTCGCCCGGACCTGGAGGGAGGAGAAAACCGGCATTCAGACATGGAAGACACCCGGGGGAGGGGGGTTGTCATCAGCACAGGGATGGTGGGGGCTCCTCATAATGGGCACAGCGGGTGTACAGACCCGGGAACTCAGAGGATGAGTCTCTGGAGACCTAAACACCAGTCCTGGGCCACCGTCATATTCAGGTTCTGGCGGGGGAAGAAGAAACCAGGAAGAAGTCAGGGACGGTTTCTAGTACAGTCGGGACTACAGAGCAGGGACAGCCTTTTGTTGGGGAGAAGAACTAGAAGCACCAGCATGCCCATTACCAAACAATTGTCGGGGACTCACCTGATAGGTGCCATGGAGGGTGCTGATGAGCTGCGTGATGTGCTCCACCACCTCCAGGTCCTTCTTGATGCCCTGCAGTTCCTGGTACAGCCGAGGGGACCCCAGGGACACTTTATCTGGGGGGACAGAGATATGAGTGGAACACGCGCTCCATGCTAAACCCCACCCCCATCCCGCTCACAGAGGTGATGGGACTTACTTTGACCAGCAGAGGGCGACTGCTTCTTGCCAGCCGACTGTTGGCTGGTGGCGGCCTCCTTCTCCGGCACGTTCTCTTCCTGTCCGAATTCCGCCACATGGAGCTGGGACAGAGCCCCGTTCCACTTCAGCACGTAGCGAGGTCCTAGCGGGACCAGATTCCCGATGTCCGGCTGCCCCCTGGTCAGAGGAGAGAACGGGGTCAGCACTCTAACAGTCGCTTTATAATGATAAGGGTAGATTATCCCTCCCTATCTGTCCTGGTGTCACCATTGTCACAAATTAAGCAATATGTTATACTGTCGTTCTGCCACTAGGGGTCTCCCCTCTGTAAAACTTGCTGCTTCTCTGTTTAGTATTACAGAAGTGAGACACCTAGTGGCCGAAATACGGTATAACATATCACTACAACAGGGAGCCAAAGTGATGGAACAGGAACAGGAACAGGGGGGAGATTTACCAATGGGGACACTTATGCCAGTGACAACTAAAAGGAGATGTTTCGTCACTTCCTGTTGTGTCTCTGGGACACGAGGTGACACTATATAAATCCTGTATTATAATAAGAGGGAAGGAAGAGAAGGAAGAAGAACAAAGAGAAAGAAAGAAGGAAGAAGAAGAAAGAAAAGGAAGACGGAAGAAAGAAAAGGAAGAGAAGAAGAAGAAAGAAAAGGAAGAGAAGAAGAAAGAAAAAGGAAGAGAAGAAAAAAGGAAGAGAAGAAAGAAAAAAGGAAGAGAAGAAAGAAAAAAGGAAGAGAAGAAAGAAAAAGGAAGAGAAGAAAGAAAAGGAAGAGAAGAAAGAAGGAAGAGATAAGATAGGAAAAGAAAAGAAAGAAGAGAGGAAGCCACGGCCGCTGGCCATTTGTGTGTGGAGGTGGGGGATGTGTTTGTCTGGAATCATTCAATTAATAACAAACTATCAATAAATAAATGAAAAATAGATACACTCAGGAAGAGGAGACAGGG